TTTTCTGTGCAAGTACTGCGCCTAATCCTATGATTGAAGCATCAGTATATAAAAAGAAAGGCTTTGAAAAATCTGGGTATTGTACAATTGGTGCTGTTGTTAGTTTATCTCTTAAATTCTCAAATGCCTTCTGTTGTAAATTCATCCATTCGTAAGGTGCATCCTTTTTTAATAATTTGTACATTGGATCAGCAACTTTAGCAAAATCTTTGATGAAGCGTTGATAATAAGAGAATAATCCTAGGATTCCGCGTAATTCTTTAATATTTTGAGGTTCTGGATAATTAACCATTTTATTGACTTTTTCTGGGTCAGGTTTAACACCTTCTTTTCCTATAACATGTCCTAAAAATTGAAGTTCTGCTACTGCAAAATGACATTTCTCTGCTTTTAATCTTAGATTCGCCTTACGAATTCTATTTAGAACTTCTTCTAAATGTTGAATATGATCTTTAAAAGTTTTTGAATATATAATGATATCGTCAAGATAAACTAAAACAAACTTCTCCTTTATTCCATGTAAAACTTTATCCATAGTTCGCTGAAATGTCGCAAGTGCGTTGCAAAGTCCAAAAGGCATAACTTTGAATTCGTATGTTCCAAATTTTGTAATAAAGGCTGTTTTTTCCTGGTCTTCTGCCCTTACTTTTATTTGCCAATATCCTAATGCTAAATCTAAAGTGGTGAACCATTGTGCATCTTGTAGAGAATCTAATAATTCATCAATCCTTGGGAGTGGGTAATTATCTTTTTTTGTAATATCGTTAAGAGGTTTATAATTAACGCAAAACCTAAGTTTTCCATTTTTCTTTTTCACTACTACTACTGGAAATGACCAGTGGCTTGTTGAAGATTCTATTAGTCCTTGTTCTAACATGTCATTAATTTCACTCTCAATAAATTCATTTTCCTTTGGTGCTGTTCTATAAGCTCGCTTTTTGATAGGTGGCACTTCTTCAGTGATAATAATATGTTCCCCTTCTGGAGTTTGTTTTAACTCTTGCAATGATTTAGCGAATAAGTCTTTATTTTTATCTAGTAATTGATGAAGTGATTGATATTGATTTTCCTCTAATTCTCCAATCGGAACAACTTTTTCTAGTTCTAATTGAATATTAAATACATTCGGACTTTCTGATTCTTGCATCATGTAATAAATGTTCCAATCTTCTTGAACTATTTGACAATTATTACAAACTTCTTGATCTTCTAAGGTCTTATATAGACATTTTTCTGGTCCCTTACTATTAATTACGCCAGTACTATTGTGATTTTGTTGCTTAATATACTCTAAATACCCTGGGTGATATTTCCGATCATTGATTTGAAAAGTACTTTTGGTTATTTCTGCCTTATAAAATGGAACTGCTATGGTGTCTTCTAACTCATCTTCTAATTCTAGTTCATCTACTGGGTCAATGACTGTATATTTTGTTGGGTCTAATTTTTGAGAACATGTGACAGGAATTTGTTGTTGGATTCCTTCATATTTAATGGTGATGGTATTCTGTCCATAATCGATGTTTGCATTAACCTTCTTCAACCATTCGTTACCAAGCAGAACATTATATTCAGCTGAGTTTGTGACTATCATATTGACATAGACTTTAATATCCCTCATTTGTACTGGAACTTGTTGAACCATTCCTAGTAGGACCCCGGAAAATGCTTATATATGTAAGGTACCAAGGTGCTTAGCCAACATAGAAAAATTTTATGATGTAAGAATTTTATAATGCTTAATTTTAAGAAAATTTTATACTATGTAAGATAATTAAATTGCATATTTTTGGTATTATTTTAAAATACTAAGAGTTTTTAGTTGCTTATTTTTCATATTTATATAACTTTTTAAAATATTATATATTGAATTTATAATTAATTTTTATTTTATTTTCACTAAC